AAAGGCATGCATGAGGGAGAATGAGACAGGGCTAAGTGCTGGGCAGAAATTATTTCACCTCCTCCACATCTTTGCAGCATAAAACATCCCTCATCATAAATCAGCTCTGATTAATTTATTATGGATGTTTATGTTAAATGTCTCAATTGCTCTTTCGTTCTTGGGAATACACTCTTATTTTCATAGATATTTATTAATGCAGCTTCTCTAGGTGGCAGATTTCACTTCCCATCTCTTCTGGTTTTGGCTCTGTGGAGAGAAGGATGGAGTCATAAAACTAAAACACACACAGACACAGGGAGCAGGACACTGGCCCTTCCCTCCATCAATTGCAGAGAGAAGCATAGCTGTGGAAGACATTATTTCCTTCAGTTCTGAACCTTGGTTATTCAATATCAGGGTTCTACTGCCCTTGTGAGGGCATGGAAACACTACCAGAGAGCATTGCTGATACTTGCTTTCCTAATACAGCAAGAAGTCAAAAGCTTGGGCACAGTATTTCACATTTGATACATTTTGAATGACTATTTAATATAAGTATTTCTTTACTTCTCTGGGTCCTCATTTCTTTCTGACATAAAAGCTCTCCCAAGTGTCTTTGTAAATTTGAGGTGAACTACTTCACTGCTCTCGAGGGTACAGAAGTCCTGTAAACGTATTTTACTACCTTTTCATATTTTATATGCAATTGAGTCTGGAGGACAGACTGATCTCCAGCCTTTTCTGTTCAGAACTCTGGCTTTTGGTTAAAATCAAAATCAATTTTTAAAAATCATCCTTCAACCACCTTGAAAGCCAAAGAGCATCTTGTAACATCTCAGAAAAAAAAGCAGAAGCTACATGAGAAAATTGTGGTAGGTGATTAAACTGATTAAATCCCGGGCTTAACTCTGGTCTCTCAGTCAATGCACTAGAAATGAGATGCACACATTCGAAATGATAATTAATTAAGCAGGAAAAGAAGGACAATATGATGTTATGTATTTACTCAGAGCAACATAGGTACTACATGCTGTATTGATGACTATTACCTACAACAACAGTAGTTGCATAAAGCCAGATAATTAAATATGTACCTTCATGCCCTTCAGAAAGTACTGGAGTGGATGTCTATGTCTATTTCTCCATCAAATATTCCTCTGAGACTGCCTTAAATAAACAACAGCTCTGTGGGGGGGGAAGAAGATAATAAGGACAGCTTAAATATTAAAATGATTTAATCTGTTTGTTTCCTAAGTAGGAAGACTGTTCTAGGAGCACTCATTGGTTTAAATCTCAGGAGAGGTAAAAAGCTAAAGACTATTTTTCAGTAATGTTGGTTTTAAAAATTCAGAGCGTTTCATTTTCCTAGCACTAGCAGATTAGTACTGATGAATCTTATGAATGAAATTGATTTTGGACTGTAATTATAATAGCAGGGAAATCATTTAATGGTCATAGAAGGATGAAAATTCAGGTGTTGACCAACATTATACTGCAGATAAAAAAATTATACAGAGGATGACAGATCACCAAAAGGAAATTATTAGGAAAAAGATTTAATGAGAGCAGAAAAATATTTGGAAGAAAAGTAATGAGAAGACTGATGGTTGATGAAAACCCTCTCCCAGCTGCTTCTCTTACAGCAGAATAACCAGCTCCTGGACATTTTTCTCTACTAGAACTGCTCAGAAGATGTTCAAATATATCATCTTCAGCCTATAAGCAGCCTGGACATGTTTTTATTACCTCATTTTCCTTCCTTTCCTTACTTCACTATTCCCACATTTTATTTTACCCACAAAACCGGAAGTAAAGAAGTTTTGCCTTAAACATATAGCAGCATGTGAATTCCCATGTGTGAAGGCTTTTTCTACCCTCAAGCACCTCCAGGCTTCTAAATCAAAGTGCAGAAGCTGTCAAAGCCAGCTAGACTATACTAAATATTTCCAGAGAAAGACATTTATACACACAATAACAATATGTTACAGGTACAAAGTGAGGAAGAACAATATATCCAATACACACATAGACAGGGGTGTTTGCTTTTGGGAATAATAGTGAGAAGGTAGTTAAAATAGTGATATAGATTGTCAAAACATGATCTCAAAATCAAAATAACACTATCATCCCAAAGGCAACTCTTTATACAGCATTTCCTTAAGAAAAGAGGGAGGTTTTTTGGTTCAGAACCTTCTTTTTGCTGTCTTGAAAATAAATATTTTTGAGCTTTGCTTTTCAAGATTTGTTGGATAAACCCAGACTTCTAATGACAAATTAGAATGTACATTATGTCTAAGAAGTTACATTAAGGTATAAAAATCTGGATGAGTCCAAACCTTTATTGAAAGATATGTTTTTCTTCCTGTAAAACAACTACATATTTCATCTTCCCCAGAAGTACAGTTTAAAGTGACGAAAAAAAAATTACCTGGGAAATCATTTGCAGAGTAATATCAAAGAGAAGTATTAATAAAGGATCTCTGAAATTTGATCTGTGTTTCCTAACTTTGGTTAATTTCCTGCCTTCAAAAACCCATTTGTGGGCATGTTTCTCTATTTTGTCTTTTGTCATCACTGAAATATTTTGAGTGGGGGAGAAGCAAATGAGTTCCCTTCCCAGACATCACAGGTTAGTTTGAAATGGATTTTACCTGGCTTGGTCAACTTTCACTGATTTTCTGCAGCTTTGGCAACATTGCTCTCACATGATAAAAGACATACACAGAGTCTAAACTGGTTTTAAGACTGGTGGGTCATTCTTTTTCAAAGCCAATTGGAAAATGGAAACTTTATCTTCAGAAAACCAACAGCTTCTCACATAAATCTTCAGAAGGAAGGATTTCACTGATACTTCCGATAAGGTTGTGGACACTGTGTGCTGGTTTAAAGGTAAACTGGCAGGGGAAATGAACCCAACTCAAAAGAGAGATTATAAATCAGAATAACAATTTAATAAAATAATACAATAAGTACAATTATACAGACAAACAACTGCTTTTAATCCACAAAACCCAAATGTATAACCCAGCACCCTGGGGCATGAACAGAGTGGTGTTCTTTGGGCCCCCTGAGTCCAAAGTAAAGGGAGAGGGGAAAACCTGTTGGTGAGAGTGCTTTTGCAGTCTGGTCAAGAGTGGTGGTTGCAGTCCAGTCGAGAGTGGTGGTTGCAGTCTGGTTGAGAGCGGTGGTTTACAGTCTTCCGCTGGATCCCACGAGTGGTTAAAAAAGTTCCAAGACTCCAAGATTATATATTCTCCAGTTCAGGCAGGAATGCCCAGTACTTCCCTCAGGGTGGGGAGTTCCACAATGGGTGTGAGGACAAGAGCACCCTCCTGTCTTGTAGGCCTCTTAACACCTAGTTTATAGCCTGAGGAGTCAGGCTGCTCTGGAAAGAGGGTGTAAATAGTCTATTGATAACCGTTTCTGGGAAATGGCATGGAAGGCTATAAAATACACAGTTTTGGGTTACACCCAAACAGTGATGAACTGGGCCCAGCTGTTCTAACTAGGACACATCGACATATTGTGCGTAGATTTCCAGGGGAGGGAAGGTGTCCCTGTGAATAAAACCAGTCTCAGTTGATTGGAAACTGGTTCTGTACCACAACTGCCCTCACCAGACAACACACCTGTGCTCACACAGCCCAAGGTGTGTAACACCCACCACATAATTTTCTGTTCAAATGACTCTATAAATCTCAAAAAGGAAGAAAAAAAGAGAACATAATAAACACACTGACAGACTTTATTACATCTGCCCATGGCGTGTAACATTTCCTATTTGTACAACAACATTTTGCCACTAGAAACCAACAGCGTCCTGAAAGCAGAGTTTTGTCAGATGTTCAGCTTCATTTACCTTCATTTTCTGCTGCAGGCACAATTAAACCAAGCTCTTCCACTTCGGGTTAAGTCATGGAACATATTAACTCCAAAACTGGAACCATACACGAGCTTTTGCTGAAAGCACTGTCAGATCAGCACTGGAAGATTTTGAATGGGTGTATGAATAGGGCTTTTGTGGCCTTGCCACTTCTCAGGCACAAAGCCTTTTTAGCAAGCAAAATATTTTAGCCATTCTTATTTTTACTGTGTGATTTATAACACTGTCCCAAAGCCCTTTGTGAATTTAAAATGCTGTGACCATTTTTCCAGGGAGGAATGCTTAAATGTAATATTCCCAGACCCTTGTGTTCCTATAAGAGTCCATGATGTTGCAAATACTGACATGGGTGTTTTTAATAAATTATAGGATGGAATTTTGGCAGAATCAGAGCCTAAATAAGTAGCCATTTCAGAAACACCAAGTAGGTGTTTTACCACAGACCTTTGCAAGCCACAGAGCACAGAAGACTTTAAAGACTGCCTTCATGCATTAACACATTTTGCTAACTCTGTCTTTACTCATAGTGTCTAAGCAAATAAGAACAAAATTGATGTCCTTTTAGAATGCATTTTATTTATTTCTTTTTAGAAACCACCTTAAGGAAAATGTTGAAGTATCAAAAATGACAATCTTTTTAAATGCTATGGGTTTCTACGGAAGCTTAAAATCGAGTCAATATCTACTTTAGAAGCACTTTACTTCCAAGAGCAAGAAAACCTTATAAGGCATTAATGCTACAGAGAACCTTTGAATAAAAAGGTATTTCTTTGGATGCTTTGAATCAGAAGAGACTATTCTAAACCTGCATCTCGAACAAAGCTGAAGATGATTTATCTGGATCATGTTTAGGCTGAGCTAGGAAAGGTGTGGCATGTAAGGTTAAGTACAGCAGTAGCTTAAAGTCGGACATTCTCTGGGGACATCTAGAAAACCTGAATACAGCCAGCAGCCACTGACTGTAAGGATGTAAAAAAACATCTCAGTGGTGCTCTTGCTTCCCATATACACTTGATAAAAGGTCTACACAGGGGATAAACTCATTTTTAAGACCATCACAAATCAGGTCTATCAGGGTCTACAAAATCATAGCGAAGAATGGGGACAAGTGCAGTGCAAGAGGGTTTAGAGGGCTGTGCCACTGGAAACCACCTCAGAGCACAGATCTTGGCTCTACTCTACAAAAAAAGCCTCTAATTTTACAGCTTATCTCTGGTAGAAGCACCAGTCTCTGTCTCTCAGACCACATGTGGCTACATGTCGTCGAAGAGGTCCTCTGGCTCACAAGTGTTCTTCAGTGTTTCCAGGTTCCAATCCACAGAATGCTGGCCAGATGTCTTCTGTGAGGCCAGGTCAGGTCTGGAAATGTAAAGCAAAGGGATATGAAACAGATTTGGATAAAGATATAAATAATTCCAACATATACTTTGCGAAAGTAACCCTTCACAGTGAATTCTGAGCTTTTTGTTAAGTTTGCATTAAGAGAAAAGTGGTTTTTGAAAGACCCAATCACTTGCAGAGACGGCAGTGGCAAAACAGATGAAATTCAGCTTACAAATGTCACAACTTCAGCTATTTCATCACAATTTTTTTTTTTTAAGACCCTGAGAATTTCACCCTGAGTCTCCACAGTGAGAGTGAGGGAGGACAGGAAAGATGCTGAAAACATGCCAAGAGCCCATGTGCCCTATTTCTCCAGTCTCTCCAGGACACTACTCCAGTAAGGCTCTGCCCTTATGCCTGGGAAGGTGAGGTATCCTGTGTTTCCAAAAACGGTGGCATTTGCAACAGCTTCTGATCCCTGTATTATTTTTATTATATTAATCTTATATGTATAGGCTGAATGCACAAAAAAATATGAATCCTGCACAGAAAACTTTACTTCTGTGAGCTTAGAGAATTAGGAATCACAGGTACGTGTGTTTTCAGTGACAAGACATTCCAGGTCAGCATCACTCCTTGCATTCAAAGTAAGACGTGATCTCCCAGTCTTGCCTCAGTCCTTGGCTGCAGGGAATTGGGGTAGGAAGCAGGAATCAGACCTGACATGCTTGTACTGCAGGTTTTGGAGTATTGCTGGCTGGAGTTTCATAAGGGTCGATGGCTTCATGATCAGGAATATTCCACTGGTGCAATCCTGACAACAGGTGAAAAACTCATACATTCCCAAGGACAACACGTCAGCCACCAGAATGGAAAGGACTGGACAGAGGTGGTGGAGAGTGTTGCTCTTACTCTCAAGTAAGGGCTTCCCTGTGAGGGTTCACAAATACAGTCTTAATCTTCAGACTGATTCAAGCATTTATTTTGCCTTCAACCACTCCACACTGCAGAGCCAACACAGCAAGTGAAATTCAGCAATTTTTAAAATTTGGTTTCAAACTGATTCAGAGCCAAATTTTCCAAACCTCATCCCTAGAAATCTCCAGGTAGCAGAAGTCTCTATGAAACACTGTGATTTCAAGATGCAGTGAGCTCCTTAAGTCACCAGGCACTGCCTCACATGACTCACAGCCTCTCATACTTCCAGTTCCTTGACCCCTTGGAGGGTCAGAGCTCTCATTATGGACCTTCCTGCTGTGGATCTAGGGAATGAATTTCATTTTGTTCCCCTTGTGCTCCTGAGGAGTCAGCAAAACCCCAGTAAATGCTGAGTCCTGGATGCTGTCACTTCCCAAGTGGTCTCGAGTATTCATAGGGGTTTCCTCATCACTCAATCCACCACCCCAGTTCTGCAAACCCCTCTAAATTCAATGTGCTGCTATATTCGGATTATGATAATTACTTTACCTGAAAGTCTAACTGGCTTTCCATCAGGACTCTTCCAAAATGTTCATCTTCAGGCCTGAGTAATTTGTGTCCAAGCATTGTTTATTCTCCTTTTGGTATGCAGTGAGATGTAGACAAATGTTTGTCTCACCAAAAATCACTGGGATTAACTGTGAAACAGACCTGCCAGAATTGGATCCTCAGAGCACTCTATACTGTTCTGATTGCCAGAAATCAACTTATTTCTGCCCTAATTTTAAAAAAAAAATATATATAGGCAGCACACCCCAACAAAGAATTACATTCGAGTTCACTCAATGGAGCATTGAAGGCATGTTGTTCTTTTACTTTTCTGGGTCTATCCAAAGCATCAAGTCTCCAGTGAGAACAACATATGTAAATCACACAGTGTGGAGCCACACACTAATCATTTTAATTAATTCTGAAAGGTCTCATTAGCAAAGAAATTAGGCTGTGAAGACCTCTGTACCACCAGGGGATATTTTAGGTATGGAATCTTCTTTTGGTTTTTGGAGCATATGCTCATATATTATTAAAGCATTTAGGAATAAAAGACTTCTGAAACCCCACATTTGTTGACTATGACATTACACCTATTCCAGTATTTTTAGATTTGGACAGGTAAACCTCATGGTGCTTATACAATGTCAACGAGCATTTCATTCTCATTGGCTAAAATAACTGTTTTCAACACTATATTTGAGATCACACCCATAAGCCAAGTCATCGCTGAGTTTCAATATCACACAGTGAGAACTATTAAGCTTCTGTGTCCTTGTAACAACATGGTCCTCATTTAATCTCCAAAAGCTGTAACACCAGGCCTGTGAATAAACCCAACTGCACTACCAGAGTGGAAGCATTAGGCTCTTCACACAAAGATCACAAGAAAATTTTTGGTTTTAAGACTTGGTGATTCCTACTTGCATGGCAATTACTCACTGAGTGGCAACAGCTTGCTTTGTGCTGTGATGTTATTTTGAATCTTAGGTTCTCGGTGAGGCTGTGTTACCATATCCTGATGCATAACTGAGTTAATTTCTTCAAATTGCCACAAGTTGTATAGCCCTCTCTTGCCAAAAAGGCTGTAAAGTAAGCTATTCTTCTTGAAAGTTTATTTTGCTGGATCTCTTTTTGAAGTCTTACTTTTTTGGTAAACTTAAAATCCATTAACACATCTGGAGAACTGCTGACTATAAGAGATCATTTCATATTTCCTGACATTTAGTTCATAAAATGAGACAGAGGACTAGATGCACAGCTGGTGTGAATCACTGGAGCACTAATAATGTCTGTGGAGCTCTGCTGACTTACACCAGATGAGATCCTGGCCCAAGAATTGGAAGAAAGTGGTTACATGACTTGATATTTCTTTCCACAGCTGAGTAAGAGCTGCAAGGAACAGAAGACATGAAACACTTTGGTGCTTTATAACACAGGAACTCGAAGCCATGCAAGGGGGTGGCTTTGCAGAGGAGCTACACAAATAACCACTTTTTTTCTGGAAAGATGAAGGATTCTGCACTCTTCTATTCTTGTAGAGCCAGCCCCGCATGTTGTGGTTATGATTCTACTCGAATTTTTGTCCTTGAGCAACTCCCTTGGGATTTGGAAAGAGAAATACCCTTGTAAATTAACACAGATATAAAGACTTTCCAAGAAACTTGAGTAATCTAGGAGGCATCCCTGTGCCCTTCAACCATTGCATTATTTTCCTCATTTTTTTAATTTAGTAAAATAATCAGTTCCAACCATAAGCTGGCATTTTTCTAAGAGGGGAGATCTCAGTTGTCACCAGTGGTTTAGGAAAAGGCTGAATTTCTCAGCATGTACATCTTTCCTTATCTTGGTTTAATGGTTCACTTTTGTCATTTTGACATTTATCTTAATGAAGGCTTTATAATAACAGAGGATATAATCTGATATAGTGTTATAAGAATAGGTGACAGCAGCAGCTTGTAGACAGAGAATTCACGGTCATTACAGTATTAACCTTAAGATTTTGAAGCATCTCAAACAGAAACTAAAGCTCATGGCCATAGGTAAAATCTTGGCCTTGAATAACCAGGATCCCGTGGTGCTCCCAGTGCTAGTGGGAGACATCCTGACTAGGCAAAAAGAGGAAAGTTAACCATAAAAAGAAAAAGAAATGGATAATGGAAGAGGGGAATAGCCTTTTAGATGCATTGAGAACACCATATGAAGACAGAGCTCTTTAAAGTGGAATACTAAAAGTGTAAGTAGACTAAACGGAAGCTACACGTGATTAAAAATATGATGGTATTCCCCTATGCAAATATGCTACAATGACTATAAGATAAATTATGGAGGTATTTTTCTTTTTAATTCAATTTAGAATGGAAAAAGAAATTAAAATGTGTTACTTTTTGGCAGTACTAAGAGTATTCCGCTTGCCAATGTAGTCTAGGCTGGCATTTATTCCTAGAAATGATATGAAAACAAGCCCACATACTTCTAAAGGATTCTGCAAAATGTAAACCCCAGCAAGTCTTGAAGAACTTACTGGATACAATCAGCTTCATGACCTGAAATTACAGCTGAGGGACTTTTGCCTCAGTTAGTAAAGAAACTGAACTTCTTTTCTGCCAGTTTCAATTGTCTGAAGAGAATGGTGGTGTCAGAGATCATCGGAGCCCTACCTACACCTGGCCCCAAAACAAATTGACAGAAACTAGAGAAAAATACTCAAGAAATAGATGAAGAGAATGATTCCTGAGGTGTCCACACGTGGCATTTTCCTGTGCTCAGTGTACTGAGCAAACAGTCTAGTCTCAGTTAAGGGTACCAGACAGACAAAACCACCACCACCACTAATAATAATAATAACAACAATAACAACAATAACAATAATAATTTGTTCAATTAGACAGTTAATGAAGAGTATTTTCAATGCAGAAACCACAAATTTAGTACTCAACCAGGGAATCAATGTTCCTTCATAAGCTTCCTCATCTGGCTGGAGGTCAATCTGCAACTGCACCTGCATCCATCACCACCCCTGCACAGTAGGACAAGTCTGGAATCCTCTCAATCAACACAACTTAAGTAAAAACTCCAAAAACCAGCAACATTGCTAAACACTGTCTTCAGCTCCTGCAAGCGACACTCTTCATGCTCTAGAACCAGACACCATCAATTGGGGATGATTTTGTTTCATACTTGTACAAAAGTTGTCTTTTTCTTTATGTATCCTTGGAGACCTTCCGAGGGAGGAAAGTGGGCTTGGAGTCCCTCAAACATCACATAAATGGACACACTGATTGCAGCAAGAGCAAACTCACAAACAAACCTGCTACATTGAGAAGACTCTCATGTATCTCTAAATGATATATCTTTTAATATTTGATATAACTTCCAATAACCACGCTAGATCAGCTCACAACACTACTAGTCATTAACTCTATTTATTTAGTCCTACAAAACAGGAGCTTTTTCAGGGACTTGTATCCTTTCACTTGCAAATTCCCAATTAACTTCAGTTGGCATTGGTGCACGTCCTTATTTAAGAAGAACATTTTGGTTTAGTAATATAAATATAGTCCTAGATA